AATCTTCATAAGACACCTGAGTCTTTTAAGGGAAGATCCAGGTAGTGTCGGATTCTTACCGACTAAGACCTCCACGATGGCCATGTGTTCCGCACGTTCAGAGAGCTCCGGGACCTTTTTATACACACAAAGCTCTCCTGTGCTGTTGTCCTAAAAGACAATGTGTTTTTTCTTTTTGCCCAAAAACCTTTTTCTTTTGGCTTTTGCCAGGGGGCTCGAACCCTGGACCCTCAGATTAAGAGTCTGATACTTTACCGACTGAGCTATCCCAACCTACAAGGAATATTCACTAGATAAATAGAGGAAATATTTAGAAGAAGAAGGAGTTTTTAATAGTCATCCATATCTGACATGGTGACAATCAAGTTTCCATTGGATCACAATCTAGATGAGATTTTTAAATCTTAAAGCAAGGAATATTCACTAGATAAATAGAGGAAATATTTAGAAGAAGGAGTTTTTAATAGTCACCCATATCTGACACAGTCAAGTTTCCATTGGATCATGATCTAGATGAGATTTTTAAATCTTAAGGCAAGGAGTATTCACTAGATAAATAGAGGAAATATTTAGTAGAGGAACTAGTTTTTATTATTAGTTTTATTATTAGTTTTTATAATTATAAACTAGTATATAACTAGTTTTTATTATTATATATAACTAGTTTTTATTATTATTTTTATTATTATAGTTTTAAGAACTAGTTTAATAGTCGAATAATTTTAAATTCAACCAACGATTAAACTTGGTATCAAATAATAATAGTAATCAATGTTTTTATAATAATTCAATATTTTCAATATTTTAGTAATAACAGCCAATATTTTTGAATTGTTTCTCAAGTATTTATTTGTGACATGGGATTGCAAACTCTTTAAATTTCTAGTCTACATTTGAAGGATGCGAAAAATGTGTAAACACTTTTTAAGAAGCACATAGTAGATGTCGTAAACTTGATAAAAGGATATGAAACAAGTGAAAATGTCCAAGGATTCGTGGCCCTGTAAGAAACCTAAAACTTGGCTTGCGCTCGGCGATCAACGTGTTAATTAGCAGATGTTGAAAATATCCCACAGACTGTTGAAAATATTCCGTTGCAGGGCTTGTTGTGCGCTCACGATGCAATCGCCCAGAAGGACTACTATCCCCGATTGCCGGAGATCCCTCTGGAGGTCGACGAGGACGAAGAGACCGTGAAGATTGTACAGTTGGTGAAATCGAACGAACCCTTGGTACGTCAGACAGGTCGCACGTGTTTCGTATTTTTCGTGTTTTATTTCTTCGAGCTTGCCCGCTCGATTAGAAACGGAGGGAAGCTTGATAACGTAATTCACGTTGATTCGAAAGCAGTTGTACGTGCTTGTGTATAATTATACAATGACAATATATATTGTATATGTTACGCAAGCCTCTCTTTCTCCGTCTACTATAGTATATACTTTTCCCATGAATAAACCAAACGAAGACCAAGATTTATTTTCCTGCGTGAGAGAGAGAGAGAGAGAGAGAGAGAGCAAAAGCGAAAATTTCGTTTTAGAGTCATGTCGACAGTTTTTTTGCATGGGAGTTGATTTTGAGATTAATCCTTGTTGTAACGACTTAGATAGAACCTTGTGTTCCTGTGACAAGTAACAAGTAGTATCGAGATACGTATGGCTCGCGCGATATATTCAATGTACTGATCTCTTAAGTAATCACGTGTTTCTTTCTCATCGTCGCATACTTGCTTCGAAGTGTGGCGCTGGCGTTGAACCGATCGTGGTAAGTCGACTTCAAGCCGAAAACATGTAATATGCGTTGTCCGTGTGTATCTCTAGCGATACGCAGTACGATTTTCGTAGCATTCCGCATTTTCTTTCTCCTCTGTTTCGTTTCAAATGTTATCTAGACGTCTAGTCTAGTCTAGTCTAGTCTAGTTGGAGGAATTTTCGTTTCTTTTCGTTTGTTCATTTTACACCAGGTGTGTGTGTGTGAAGCAAAGCACGGGTACAACCCTGTAAATAGAAACCCTGTTTTTTTATTTTTTTTCTTTTTTTTTTCACGTACAATTTTGTGTCATTTTTTTTTTTTTGCTTGCGCAAACTTACTTTTTGTACCCCCACTGATTTGTGTTTGTTTTTTGTTTGTCATTCTGTTTGCTTCTGAAATAAAACGATTTCTCTGTTCAATCATTGTATATCTTGTGTTATTGTCCCGCATGTCCTTTTCGTCGAACGTGCGCAAAATCTCTCGAGATAAACGGCACACCGACTAGTCGATCCTCGTTCTCTTTTATTTTTTTTCTCTTCTTTTTTTTTTCTACTGCTGATTTATCTCGAGACATTCAAGCTTACGTCGATCGCGATTGTGTGTGTCCATGCCTTCGCGAGGGGATTCTCTTTCTTTTTATTAATTTTTTTTTAAGAGAAACGAAGGCACGACCTAACACGCGCACCTCGCAACCGCAATGAAAAATATTAGTTTACACGTTGACAATAGGGAGCGACGATAAAAACGTGCGAGGTCACCGGCAAGATCGTGATAGCGCGAATAATGCACGGCGGCGCGGCCGATAGGTCCGGCCTCATTCACGTTGGCGACGAAGTTTGCGAGGTGAACGGCATCAGCGTCGAGGGGAAGACTCCGAACTGCGTTCTCAAAATATTGGTAGGTCGCTGCTTCTACTTTGTCTGCGCGCGCGCTATACCAAAGATTCGCCATCAAGATTTATTAAGCGACTGCTTTCAGCAAAATTCCGAGGGTACGATTACTTTTAAGATAGTGCCTGCCGATAGCAAAGGGGGGATCCGGGAGAGCAAGGTACGTTTTTTTTTTTTTTTTTTTTTTTTTTTTTTTTTAAAGAATTTCTCACCTTTTTCATTCAATTTTCTCTCGTTTCGCTCTTTCTAAGGTGCGAGTTAGAGCGCACTTTTCCTACACAGCTGGAGAGGACCCGTACATACCGTGCAAGGAGGCTGGACTAGACTTTTCGAAGGGCGATGTCCTGCACATCGTCAGTCAGGACGACGCTTACTGGTAGGATTGAATTCCCCTCCCGTTTTTTTTGCATTTGAAACGCACACGCGTCCGATTGTAATGGCAGGTGGCAGGCTAGGCGAGAGGGTGACCGGAACATGAGGGCCGGCTTGATCCCCAGCAGAGCCCTGCAGGAAAGACGGATTATACTGGAGAGGCAGCAAAAGGAGAAGACTGACGACGACAATATAAGTAAGTAGCCGTGTTTGCCATCGCAAACGACCGCTTTTCTCTCTCAAAATTCGCGATTCGTGAGATGGGTTCCTCTCATCTCATTGTACGTACGTAATTTCCAATCGTCTCATTAATTAATTAATCGTCGCGTTTAACACGTTGAATGCCACGCCATTCAGACACGGATAGATATTTCAACATGGTATGTATCGTGTTGGCATTCAACGTGTTAAAATTCCGTGCCATGTGTACCACCGATGGTACACGTTAAACTTGATCCTCAGGCCACGTGTACCAAGT